GATGGATGGATCAAGGGCCAGACATATATGGATTATTGACATGCTTTGGTTCATTTAAATGAATAAAAATGAAAATGATCCTGTTGCATGCATGTCCCATATTCTGTCCTCATGTCTGACGTAGCCTCCAACTCTCTCGTGGTCTGTTTGACAGGCCTTCATATGAAGTTATTGGTGGTATGGAACATCAAGTTTACTTCAACACACACTTCATCAGTTTACTTGTCCCATACAGCCTCGTCTCCTGACTTGCAAACAGCTGCATATAAAACTCTTAAATTAGAAATGTATTCACATGCAGCACATTCCGCTGATGGAAGTCGGACTGCTGTTTCGACATGTACACTGGTCCAGTTCAGCCACCAGACACCTGCCATTTTTTACTGAAGTCGTAAAGTCCTGAGCTGTAGCAGCTTCAGAACAGATACTCAGCGTTTGTCTGTGAGGCAGGATCTGTGAGACGGTGTGTTGAACTTCATCACAGAGAACAACATCCGCCTGAAGGTGGAGCTGTGGCATCATGTTGGGGTAGATGGTGCAAACTCGCCTGCCCTGTCATTCTATCAGTTCTAAATGTTCTGCAGAACGGTCCACATCAACTGTAAATGGGTTTGGAAAAAGATCAAATCTGCATTTCCGGTTTTCAAAGCTGGCAGATCTCCTGTCAGACTTTCCTTTGAATGCCTTCGGTTTTTCCTCTCGTTTTTCTTGTGGTGAGTGTTTTTGCCACTGGCTGACAAGTTGGGAAGGGAACAGGGTTTCTCTGCTGCATCTGGTTCTCCCACAGATGCAGTTTTGTTTCAGAAGCTGTCATTGTGTCATGCATGTCTGTGGTCCACTGCTTCATCTTCCACGTTCACATCCTGGTGCTCAGATGCTCCGTTATATCACACATAAGGCCACGTCACATCATCACGCTTCATCGTCGTGCTCAGTGAGGGTTCGTCCTTCGTCGTCAGGAGGTCCTCAGACAGCTGCACAACCACGACACAGGTGAAAATCACCTGCTGAGCTATGTCTGTTCTACGGAGAGTTTCATCCAAAGCAGTTGAGTAGGTGACACATTCATTTGCTTTGTAGCTGAGTGGTGGCTGCAGATCTGCAGCCAGCTCATCCATGTCAGTGGCTGTTGTATTTCTAGCAAAACTGACATTTGGAAATGCTTGCCAATTTCCACAGCATATGATGTGGCAAACGTTTGGGTTTACACTTTAAAGGACAATGCCTCCATAAAAGGCCTCCCTGGTTTGGTTATTTCCTTTGCTATGATGAAATCTGACTTTACAGCTCCATCGCTTTAAGATTTGCTGTAGCTGCATGTCTCTTCACAGTTCAGCGGGTTTCTGAAGCCCCGATTCTCCGTCCATGTCTTCATGTTGCTGCTCACCCTGACCCTGTGGTTTCAAAGGACAACTCAAGTTTTACTGTCTGAAAACACAGATATTCTCAAAGCAAATGAGACGGACACAGGTTGAGCTGCAGACCCGGAGAGAACTTGTTGAGTATAGTGAGGGAAGCACTGTGCTGAGCTTCAGGTTGTCATGACAACAGCTGATCAGCTCGTCAACTTTTCTCTCTGCACTAAAAACAATGCTTCTTAGATGGGTCTTCAGAAGGCTCTCTGGTTCTTCAAAACATCGAATGAACAAAGTCTTTATTTAACGGATGCTTCTTTGCTGACTTTTTGTCATTCTTTAAAGATACTACCTCCATCCATCCATCATCTCTACACCTTAATCCTCACTAGGGTCATGGGGGGCGGAGCCTATCCCAGCTGACTCAGGGTGAAGGCAGGTTCACCTGGACAGGTAACCAGTCTATCACAGGGCTACACTTAGAGACAGNCGGGGAGAACATGGAGACTCCACGCAGGAGGATCTCAGGCCCAGATCTTCTAGCTGCAAGGCAATCATGCTAACCCCCGAGCCACCATGCAGCCCTCTCTCTATCCCAGACGTTCATTCTGCAAAATGATTTAATGGCTTCTCTGAACTGCAGTGACAGCTTGTGTTGAAATAAGACCACGACAGATTTCAGGTGTGATCACATGTTCAGCAGCAAGTCGAGCGCTCCTCCACCTGCACTGATTAAGCAATCTTCCCACAATTTGCTCCTGTTCAGTGTCTCTGAGCCATGCAGCATGTACTGATGTAAAAGACAGAGATTTTGATGAACTGTCACAGTTTGAAGGTCAGATTTGGTTCATTTTAATAATGAAGCAGCATGTTACAAATGATACGTTTAAGGACCGACTGCAAGGTGAAAAGCTGTTGATTCTTTCTGTTTTCACGGTTTCTGTCTGCTAAATGTGTCATTGAATGTTTTTTAATCGATAACAGGCTTTTTTCATCTGGTTGGATGTTTTGGAGTACAAACGGTTGAACTGCTGTTTACATCAGAGATAACATTAAATGTTGATTTACGGGGCGCCCCGGTAGCTCAACCGGACAAGACAGCGACCCACAAACAGGCTATAGTCCCCGACACGGCGGTCGTGGGTTCGACTCCCAGCCACCACCCTCTGCTGCAGGTCCTCCCCCCTTCACTGTCCATGTCTACTGGTCTGAATAAAGGCTCAGAGCCTGCTCCACCAGCAGTGTCGGTTTTAGGACTTGAAGTACTCTGTATGATGGGACTTGTGCTGTCGTAGATGCTCTGAATATTTGTTGTCAGCTTGTTGTTGCTGTTGGGCGGGCCGTCAGTAGGAGGGAGGCGTAACCGAGGGCGACATGATGACACACACTTCCTGACAAACACAATATAAGAGACAAATTAGATCAAGACGCCGTCAGAACCTGCAGGACCCCTGATACCCGGACCAACACACAGATACGAGGCCTTCAGGACACTCAGAACCGACCTGCTGCTCCCAGTTTGTCCAGGATGTGGCTGTTTCTGATGGTTGTGGCTCTGCTGGATCACAGCTGGGCTGCTCCGGTAAGACTAGATCCTATTGATCACCTGATCAGTTTATCAGAATCTAAATCAGAATGAGAATTAGCTGTACTTGACGTGTGTGTGCACATACAAGGAATTTGACAGTTTTGTTCTTTGTTCTGAAAGTATTGACACAAAAAACATACATGCAGCAGTTTGAAGACGTTCGTGTTGAAGAGTGCTGTGCAGGCAGGGACGTGGACCAGAGCACATCCACAATGATCCAGAGGTCGCTGATTCACATGATACAGGAATGAAAAAGTTAAGAACAAAGACAGGGTTCTTGACACTTTACTTACATGAGATTAATGGATGATGGAAAGAAATATGAACAGGTCTTTACCATGAAGCATATGCAGTATGAACAGAGCAGTGGTGGTTTCCACACAGGGAGATGAGAACCACATCAAGGCCCAGGTGGCTGCAGGTGGTT